GATGCGGTATTTCAAATCCTCATCATGAGGAACCACAATTTGTGGTGTATCCGTTGATTCGGTGCTATAATTTAGCAACCCATTATTTAACGAATATCGGTGCAATCGTGAACGCAATCTTGATGACAATTTTTTGTCCAAGTTTCCAGACTTCTTGCTCACTATAGCCCGTAGCAATGCTACACACATCCCATCACCCGCATTCGCGGTGCGGATCAAATTTGTCACAGACGACGTTACAATTGTAACAAGAGCAAGCTCATAGTCTGGTCTGCGTGTCAACGCGGCAGCCAAAGCATTCTGATTTCCCGGCTTATACTTCACCTCGACGTTATATCCACATAGAAGGATAGCCATCGAGCCATCCTCTGCGATAGGTGGGGCGACTGAGTCGCAGTGCGTAGTGACGCATGATCTGTATAGATCACAAACGGCTTGGAGCCGAGCAGGTGGACCCTGAACTTGACAAGTGCATTCTTCATCGCAAGTATCTCCTTGTCATGAACTGGGTAGTTCTTCTCTGCAGTTTTGAGCTGTCGTGATTCGAACGCGATCACCCGATCTCGCCCCCTCGGCGTCTGCGTTGCAGCAGTGCACAGCCGAAGGCAAAGTCCGCAGCGTCACAGACGACGCTGAAAGGACGATCAGGATCTGGCAGCGCCGGTATTGGTGCATGCAGGAGGCTGTCTTTGACCCCGTCAAAATCCTCCTGATGTTCGGTGTTCCAACACCATTCCGCATCCTTTTGATAAAATTGGATAATGGCCGGGCCATTTATGCGTAGTTTACGCTGTACTTGTGTAATTAGTTGGCAAGACCAAGCCACTTACGCAAGTCCTTCTGTTTCTTTGGAACCGGCCAATCTCCAATGGCCTTGACCTTAGCGGGATCCGCTCGAAGGCCACGCTTCCCATTAAAGCACCCTATAATATAAAGCTCTTCTGCGCCAAAGATGCACTTGTCTGCATTGGCGTACAGTTTAATAGTGCGCATGCACTCGAGCACCGCTCTTAGATGGACGATGTGGTTCTCCTCATCCGTCCTCCCGTGCTCCGCATGACTGTGGACAAAAATGTCGTCAAAGTATGTCTTTGCATACGCCCTGTGAGCCCGAACAACTGCGTCACAAGACGATTAAATGTTGCTGGTGCATTAGACAGCCCTTGGGGCATCACCAGCCACTCCCAGAGCATGCCGCTCGGAGTACTTACCGCTGTCAGCGGAATGTCACTCGCTCTCATGAGCAATTGGTAATATCCATCTACCAATTCGAGTGCACTGTACTTCGTTCATCCCACCATGTTGTTCTGGATAACAA